CTCTGATGGAAGGCAGTTAGGCGGAGGGTGAAATATTAATATGCGATGATTAAAATGTCCTTTCCAGTTGTTGCAGTAAGGGGGGCAATAAGTGATGCGAAATGAATATTGTGTGTAGGAAGAAACCCTAAATGAATGGGACAGAGGAGGCAAGGGAGGCAGTTTTCTCCAGGGGCTGCCGGGCTTGTGTGGGGACAGCAGAAGAGCACTTGGCACAGGGTTTTTGAACACCCGGCGCTGACTGTTTTATAAGCTGCTAAACGAGAGCAGTGCAGGCTGCTTGCTAAATGGAGGACGTCATTGATGGTGCCTGACATCTCAGAGCGATGCCATGCTAGAAGCCCCAGCGTTCCAGCTCCCCAGCCTCGCGCAGCGCTCGCTGCCAAAGCCCCGCTCCCTGCCTGGGCAGGGACAGCAGTCAGTGGCAGATGGCGCCGGGAGAGCATCCCATCCGCGGAGACGTCGGGTCCTCGTTGGCTTCCTCCCAAGTCTTTCCCAGCTGCGTGGCCGTCACCTTGCCTGACCTTGAGTTTGCCATCTGGTGGCCCCGTCCCATGGCTCATCAGCCACAGGCACGTCCCCTGCGCAGCCCTGCAGTGTCCCGAGATGGCCCCGATGCGCAGAGCTGCTGGGGAGCTACCAGGGAGCCAAGGGAAAGGCTCTGCCGAGGGAGGGGTGACGCTGAGCTACCCGCTCCATCACCCGTCCCCGCAGTGGGTGGTGCAAGTGAGGTCTCCCATCTCCAGCTCCTACAGCCACAGGCTCTGTTGGGTTGGGGGGACCCAGCATCCCACCTGGGGAGGAGAGGAGACGGCACAGGGGACAAGCACACACTGGTCCAACTGCAAGAAGCGTGGAGGAAAGTCACGGGAGCTGGACAAGGAGGATGCAAGGCGGGGTTAGGGGAACAGGCAATTGGGAGAGGCGCAGGTTCCCCTACACCCCCCCACCTCCGTGGCGGCCAAGGTCATACCTTGGGAGACGCCTTAGGTGATGTCCTTCTCCAAGTGAAAATCCATCTGGTGCCTTAGTGCCCCCCTGAGAAACACATCCTCTTCATCCAGCTCTTTTTAAAACACCCACAGAGCAGAGGATCCATTGGCAGCAGCAGAGCTGGCTCATGTTGCACCTGCTGGGAGAGGGCAGCCCACTAGATTTGGGGGAAGACACACGTTTTATGCCCCCACACAACCCCGTCCTACCCGAATCCTCCAGCCAGCCCTTTCTGTTCCCATGCACAGGGGCAGCTTAAGCCACATCGCTCCTACAGAGGCTTAAGGAGCTCAGCACCCTGATGTAATTGGCGTTTGCAGCTGCAAACAGCTGGTCGGAGATTCAAACTGTTGTAAATAACACATTTCTGGACTCGTTAGAATTGGGGAAGGGTTTGGGCAAACAGCAGCCTGGGATTTCCCTGAGCTGGGGCTTGGGGTAGCAACAGTAAAACTCCTCAGAGATGGGGTGAAAAAACAGAGACGGGTATATTTTATTTGAGCGCTATATTTTATTTTGAGGAAGAGAGCATTCCTCCTGCCTGCCTGCAGCTGGGCCAGACCTGGAAACGGTATGGCCAAATTTGACCAACCTACTCGCTTTCTGTGGCGAAGCGTGTGGCCGAGGAGATGACGTGGATGATGTCTGCCTTGACTTCGGGAAGGCTTTTGACATGATCTCCCGCAGCATCCTGGCGTCCAAGCTGGGACACGGCAGTCCGGATGAGCGGCCTCCAAGAGCAGTGCAAGCTGGATGGTGGGGCTCCAAGGGCAGTGATAAGGGCTCGTAATCTGTCTGGAGACCAGCTGCAAGAGGAGTTCCTCCGGGGACTGGGGTTGGGGGAAAGGAGGGCCATGGGTGGGTAGCAAAATGGGTTGGAGACTCGCATAAACTCTGGCAGATGAGCAAGATGGAAAGGTGGGAGTGCACCGTCTAGAAGGGAAGCAGCTGAGTGGGGCCGAAGATGTCCACGTGACATGGGCTAGTGTAGGCAAGAGAGGTGCCAGGGCAGATTTACTCTGAAATAGAAAACATGGGCATCAGGAACTGGAAACTCCAGGAGTCACCAAGTGTAAAGGCACATGTTGCAGTCACCGTCCTGCAACATCGCTGAAACCCCAGGGCAAGGAGAGCCATGGGTTCACCATGGGTCAGACATGTCCTTGGGTACCAAGACCATCCAGAGCTACCTGGATACAGGTACCCTACGCGTGTGCAGGCTCTCTGAAGGTTCCACACAGCCTTAACTGGCCTGGGGGGGTTTAAGATGGAGATTTCCTGGGGACTGGCCATCCTGGAACAGCCTCCAGCCAGGGCTTTGTGCAGATATTCGGGATTTCTAAGAAATGAGTCCTCGAGGCTCAAGCTGGGTACGCAAGAGAGTGAATGGCTGGAAACAGCCTTGGCTCTTCCTCTGTTTCTCCACCTCTGCACCAGGAATGAGGACAGTTTCCTCTGTGAACCTCTTCCAGACTGCACTGCAAAAACACCTTAAAATAGATAGTATTAAGCAAATGTTATTGTATAGGTTGGGACTTCGAGCAACCTGAAGGAGTTGGGCACCGCTTGCTAAAGATGTGAGGATTTAATTCACTTGGATGCCTTTAGAAGTCCTGTCCTTTGGTTATTTTTTCTAGTGTTTTTAGGAACATTGTGCTGCCAGGAATTGTTTTTAAAAAAATAAACCAAAAGTCTCCGGCTCTTTTAATCTGTAAGGGTGAAAGGGAAAATTTAACGAGCCAGACTCAGACAAAGTCTAACTTTTTTTTTGATTGGGTTTATCAGGGAGATAATTTCCAGCCTCAGTGGTAGATTAATAGAGTCACAGGGGTTAGAGCTGGACAAGATTTATTGTGCCATCGCATCCTCCCCCTGCTCCATGCAGAGGATCAGCCTTGCCAGGTATCTCCAATGCTCTGTATGGTCTGCCTTTAAATGATGAAAGGAATCGAGTGTCCAGGCCTTTGTGCTCTGAAAATTAAAAAGGCGGAGGTCTGGACATCATAGCTCGTCTGTTCAGAGCTCATTGATTGCAATCGGTGTTCAAATGCTCCGTGTCTCCCCAGGTCGGGCTGCAAGCACCATCTGCGTGCCAGGCTGGGTGAGTCTCCTCTGTTGTCTCTTTACCTCCATGCTGGACTGAAGTTTCAGATCCTGGAGATACAGAGCTAGCGGCAGCGAGCCCTAGCACTTGTCTGTGTGGGCAGAAGTACCCTCAGGCAAAAATAGGACTATGGGCAGAAGCAGCCCCCCAGGTGTCCTGAGGGGCTGGTAGCTGAGCAGGCTCCATCAGGAGGACATCCGTCACCCAAGAAGCCAAAATGGGGCTCACCTGGCAAAGGGGTGAGATAGGTATGATGAAGTTATCCCCCGTAACAGCTTTAGGGGCAGATAGGAGCAACCTATGCCCATCATGTGTGGAAGATATATGCAGAAGATGGGGAAGAAGGAGGATGTAGGTTCTTTGAAAGCTTTGGGTGAAACCCCAAAAGCACATGAGGAAATGCTGCAGCTTTTCCCCAGGCCTCTGCCTGTCTAGTGAGGAGCAGAGAGAAGACTAGGGCTCGGCAACGCCAGGGCATCGCACGCTGCCGCTGTCAGTGCCTCGGGCAGGCTGGGCTGTGGGCAAGCGGAGCCTGTCAGGGCTTGGGGACCAGGGTGACCCTGTCCACGGGAGCTGCATACACGCAGCCACCACCATCCCCACCTCGGACCAAGGGCTCAGACAAACCTGGGCTTTGAGCCCAGAGAGCCAAAGCCCCAAAGCCAGGTGGTGCTTTAGCTCTGCCCAGTGCCAAGGCAGACGCCGGGGACTACCAGGGAGGGGACACCGTGGCCCTGCGGTAGCAGCGTGTCCCCTGTGCAGGGCAAGAGGCTCGGTGACTGCCTGGGGTCGTGGACACCCCGGTGGCATTGCCCCAGGTGCTGGGAGTTCCTGCTGGAAGGGGCTGGGGAAGAGCAGCACTGCAACGTGCATCATCAGATGCCTTCCACAGCTCTGAGCTGACTTCTCCCAGGTAAATACCACACACTATGTATGCAGCACGCAGCAGCGATCCCAAAGCATCCCCTCTGTTTCTGGAAGATGAAAATCAAACTGATATCTTTGGACAGCTGTAATTTTTGCTGCAGAAATGTGAGCGGGCTGTGTAATAGGCAGCCAGGCTAGCTTTAATTTCACACAATTTCCAGCCCTATCCCTGGCTCCTCTTTGTCCTCAGAGGTGACACCTGTGCTCAGGGGCTGCCCATTAAATACCCCAGGCAAAAAACCCAGGGGATCATGCCTTGCAGCTGTGGGAAGCGGGTTGGAGTGGCTTCCAGCTGATCCAGCTGATGGCTTAGCGATTCCCAAGCTAACAGTGACACCTCCTGTTTGCGCAAAATTCAGCTCAAAGCCCAGCATGTAAATATGCAGGCAGGCAGCAAAGTGCGTATAGCAGAGGGGAGCACATGGGCTGCTCCGCCACCTAAAGCTCTTCATTTGCATCCAGAAAACTCACATCCTCTTCCCAGCTGCAAGCGCGGATCCGCAGGGGTGAGGCCATCCCTGTGCGTGGTGGGAGCTGGCCTGTGCTGGGAGGTGCTCAGCAGGGGAAGGCTCGGAGAGGCAGGCATGAACAAAGGTGCTGAATGCAAACTGCTTTACCAAGAGCAGTCCTTAGAGGGGTAGAAGCTTTCCTATACTTGCATTAAAGCTTTTACTTAGATGTACAATTGATTTAAATCTTGCTTTGTCCCCCAAAAGCAACCAGCTTACACCCAGAGTGTCAGCCTGATAAATAGGTTTCCAGCAGAAGTTTTGAGCTGGCTGTGACATTCCCCTCCCCAACACACACGGGCTCTGTGGAGGTGGGATCCACCCAGCTGTGACTCGTTGAAGTTGAGGAGCTGCTTCTCTTCCCTCCAGGCTTGCTGGGAGATTTATCCCCCACCTCTTTTTGTAAGATTCCAGCAATTCCCTTGCACACCTTCCTGACTGCCGATTTGTTCATTCAGGTGTTCAAGATGTCATTGAAGGTGCAGACAAGCAACATCACGAACAAGAATGACCCCAAGTCCATCAACTCCAGAGTCTTCATTGGCAATCTCAACACAGCCGTGGTCAAGAAGTCAGATGTGGAGACCATTTTCTCCAAGTATGGCCGAGTGGTGGGCTGCTCCGTTCACAAGGGCTACGCCTTCGTACAGTACTCAAATGAGAGGCACGCGCGTGCCGCTGTCCTGGGCGAGAACGGGCGCGTGCTTGCTGGCCAGACACTTGGTAAGTCTTTTCTTGAGCCATTTTAGGTGTCCGGGTGCAACGTGGGTTGATTGCTCCCTGGGGGATGGTCAAGGGATGGCCACTCCAAGGTCAAACTGGGACATCAATCTGCAGGTCGGGGTCAGGTCCAGTGATGGTGAGTGGGTCAGACACAACCCGGTGATGACCAAGCAGGTCCGTAGTGACAGGGCAGGTCTGGGGCCAGGCTGGGAAGTCAGCCAGTGGGTCAGGATCAGTAGGGTCCATGGCCAGGCACAGGCGTGGCTGTGACAGAGCTGGAGACCAGCACTCCTACCACACAGCTTGGGTGGGGGCTGAAGGCTCCCGGGTCCCCGGTGGGTAGGCCGCAGAGTGAGGCCGGTCATGGCCGTTCAGGCACATTAGTGCCCTCAGGGCTGTGACATTGTGGCCCAAAAACTCATGTTGCAGGCTGCGATTGTAGAAGCTGTAAGCTCACAGTTCTGAGTCATCCCACGTGCTTGTCCTTGATCTGGTGGGGAAGGACAAGGGTGGGAAAACACATTGCCTGGTTCCCTTTCTGGACCAAGCCTTACCCTTTGCCTGCCAAGAGAGGTGGTAGTCTAGCTCAGACTAGCTCAGGCTAACTTTAGCCAGCTGATGTTAAATGAGATAACTTCCCCCCCAGACACATGGAAGTCTCTCATCTTCACTGCTATGTGATAAGAAATAACAAACAAAGCCACCCCAGCTGCTCCCAGCTACATCCTTATTTTGCAGATTGCTCTGAAGTGTCACATGCTGAAAAGCTCTTGTCACCAGCTCTAAGCTGAGAATTGGAATCAGAGACAGTATTTTTAATGAAAAATTGTTATTTCCAAGCCTGCTGCAAGGAGTGGTCATTGGGCACTCAGGAGAGCGATTTGCAGCCCATTCCCACCCTGCTTCTGGCACAGCAGCCTGAAATAAAAAGTTGCATGTTAGGTCTGATCTTTAAGACAGCATGCCATTTCCATCCATGGTTTATTCAAATACCAGAAACTTCTTTTCCCTTCTCTTACGGTCCAGAGAGCAGAGCTGCAGACCAAGGCGAAGCGCAGCGTGCCAGGGATGCTTCCAGCCCAGGCATTGCCCATGTGTGCGGTCTGTAGATACCACAAAGAGGACCTTGGGGAGCAAAGGAGCTTGTCGTGATGCTCCAGGCAGATACAAGAGATGCAGCTGAGAGACAGGGGACGCTTGCCCACTTAGCTGAAGAGAGATGAAAGGTTTACCATGATAGGAACATCTTACTCTGCTCTCAGTGCGGGTCCCAGAGGTCTGGCATGCCAACAAGACAAAAGGACTGTATTATAACTGGGAGTCCTGTACGTGTACTGGACAAGGTGCAAATTCAGCTCCCTTGCATCTGCCTTCCCTTCATGGGCCAGCCTTACCGCAGGAGGACTCAGCAGGCTTTCTTTGCTGTTCGTGGACCAGTATAAACACGGCAACGCTCACCTTTCAGGATAATCCAGCAGAGAAGAGCTGAACAATGTGGTTAGGAAATGTCTTTGCACAAAACAAGGTAGAAAGTGTCCCCCCCCGAAAAAAGAGGAGGTGATGGCCCCATAGGAATGTGGAGAGGAAGGACAGGATGGAACAGGCAGGGGACATGGCTGACACATTGCTGAAGAGGCTGTCCCTGCTTCTGTTCATGGGCAAGGTTTTGGGGGGGTCCTTTGAGGTGATGATAAAACTTCGCTCCCCAGGTGGGCAGCAGGGAGCTAGGCTGCTTTCTGCCCTGGCAGCTCCAGAAAGTTCAGCCGGGTGCCCCCATGCGATCCTGTGGAAGAGCTGCAAACCATGACTGCCAGGCAAACGGCTGCGCTGGGCATGGCAGGAGCTCAAGGGGGATCACCGCCTGCGCGGTGGGGCAGCATGGCTGAAGGCAGTGCCCGGAGTAGGGGCGAACTACCCCCAACCTGCCCAGGGGCAGCGGCTTGTTGACAGTGCAAGGCCACATGTCCCCCGTGCCAGCATCTCCATCCAAATCCAGAGCCACTCCTGCCAGCACTTCCCGGAGTGGCTCAGTTGTAGCAGCCCTGCGTGGCACAGTTCAGGTGAAACTGCCTTTCCTGCCTGCGCCGTTCAGGTGGGAAAGAGAATTTGCACCAACGTTTAAGAAATGTTGTGGGGAAAGCATCCAGTTTTGCATGTGCCGTGAGTGCTGTGCCTGACTCATCTGAGTGGGCATGTAGTCTCAGGATCTCGTATCTCCCCCAGCATCCGTCAAGGCTCTTGCAGCTCCTTCAAATAGAGCATAGAAAAGCTGGTCCTTGCAGAAACCCTTAAGTCAACGACCCCGGCTCTCGGTGGTACTTGTCCCTCCAGGAGCACAGCTGGCTGTGCTGCCGAGGGACAGTTACACGCACCGGTGGTGCCAGGAGGGTTCAGCCCTCCGTCTGCTCCTGAGTGCCAGCGGTGATTTGCAGGTAACATCTTCCAGCACATGCCAGAATGAACGCGCAAAGCAGCAGCATCTTTCTAGCTCGTGTCTCCCAGCTAAGGTCAGCTCTCAAGCTGAGTGGTCTAACAGCTTTTCTTCCATTTTTCCTTTTTTCTTCTTCTTCCTTTGTCACCAGATATCAAACTTGTGTTTTAATTGATCGGCAAGAAGCTGAATTTATCACAAAACGGACGTGTTTGAAACCACGGCTGTAGCCCATCATGTGCTGGGACATGGACTGCTCTGCCAGCCAGGTCCTGGCAACCTCTGTGCTTTCTCCAGATGCTCCCAGGCACCCCGGTCGTTGCAGGAGGCAGTTACCATTCCAGGGCGGAAAGCTCTGCACTGGAAGCTGGATCCACACCATAGTCTGACCCTACCGTGTTGGCCAGACAAAGCTCGACCTCCCCACTGAGTGTGGGACAGGCTGCCTGGATATGAGCAGGAGGGGTGGATGCTGCGATGGGGTAGGCAGATGGATTCAGCAACGCAGAGGAGGGAGCCAGAATGGGAACGAGATGCAAAATCTGTCCAGGCTGATGTGCATTGCAGAGCTCTTGTCTCTCCTTGTTCACTACCAAGGGAATCCTGAGGGATCTGACTGCTCATCACCACTCTAGGTTGGAAGTATAAATTCCTGATCTGTGTGTATGCCCCAATACAGGCTCCACAGTGCTATTTCTAGCAGTGCGTACCAGCAAATTGAGCTAATTGTTGTCATCAGCCACCACTGGGCTTTCATTCAATCTACCTTGAAGGGTGTTAATCAGCATGGTGCTGTCATTAGCTCTTCATTTGTCACGAAAAGTGACTGCCAGCTGGCAAGATGCACCCTGACAGCAGAAAGGGTTCACGACAAGGGAACTGGAGCTGAGCAGGGCTGTGTTCTGGGATGCACCAAGGCAGCATTTATTCCTCTCTTCCTTTACAGCAAACAGCATTGCCAGAAGCATTGCATTGCTCGGCAGACTCAGGAAGGCAACCACATGCGTAATGTTCACACCAGCAGCAGTCGTCCACCGACCCGTCCTACGGCCGTGCGCGTCCTTGCTAGCGTTCAGGCTCAACGCTCGTCTGCATTCCCCTTAGCAGTTGAGTATGGGAGGATGGAGGGTGGAAAGCAGCAAAGAAAACACAGGCTCTGATCTGAATGTGCCTCCAGAGGAACATTCAATGTAGTGGCTGAGCGGCACCCTAATACCACGCTTGTTATGCAAGCTTATAAACAGGCTAAGCTCCAGCTTCAGTAGGAACGATGTCTCTTGCTAGACCCTAAAAGGCAGTCTGAGGAATTGCACGGCAAGACATTTGGGCAGTGGGAGCATGTCCGTGCTCCTCCGGCGCCGTGTCCGATGAGTGCAGCCTGTACTCCTCCTGCTCAGGTTGTTTCAGCAGTGCTGCAGCTTCCTTGTGCTCCTGAAGATGATTTTCTTGGTTAATAATGAAGTCGGCACCCTGTTCACTCTGGATCACTTTGCAAGCTCTTTATTTTGATGGTGAGAGGACCAACCTGTCCACATTTCTCCATAAAGTCCCTTCATCCAGCATGAAAAAAGCAATGATTAATAAGCTTAAACCTGCTGAGTTCCATGGCATATCCTGCAAGTCCTGAAGAGGTGAGAACTTAAATTCCCCAGCTGGCAGCCACAGATCCACAAACCCTGCGCCCCAGATAGAGACCTTCAAATCCACCTGCACCTCAGGGGCTGTAACTCGTGCCACCAGCTTAGCACGAGGACCTGCCCCAGTGCTGTGGGGCAGCCCCTGTCCAGCGCAGTGCAGATGGTGCTTTTGCCTATGTAAGGAAATCCTGTCTTGCTTGGCTCAGATCTGGCATGCCCAGAGGTCTGACACCTATTCAGACAGAAAGGACCTGAAGAACAGAAAAAGTTCAGGGCTGATTGGAGAAGCCAGCAGGGAATTTGCTCGCTCCTGGGCAAAGAAACGAAGACGGGGTGAGGCCTCGTGCTCCCAACAGCTCATCTCTCTGCAGTTCTGGGGCCACACTCAGCGTTAGATTGCCAGGCTCTCGGCAGCCTCCATGAAATTGGCTGTATCACTTTATTCTCACATCAAAAGTGCATTTGGCATTGAGGCCGAGGAGAGAAATTTCCTCGGGGTATTAGAAGAGCCCATTCTCACCTCCCCTGGTAGAAGACGCTCCTCTGAGATCCGCAGGGGTGGCTGCAGGCGTGTGCCTGCACCCCGTGCAGCTTTTAATGCAGCCCAGTCCACAGTGATGCCTGGCTGGCTCGTGCTTAGCATTCATTTTTATTCTAGAAGGAGCAAGGGATAAATTGTTAGCAGTTTGCAACGTGCAGCAGTTGTTTTATATATTGTCTGTACCTTGTCATTACAGCACAGAGTTCTCCGGAGAAGTCTGTCCTGAATTTGCAGGGAGGGGGGAGGTATTAGACATGTGCAGGGTGTTGATGTCAAAAATAAATGGTTAGTAGCTTTGTAAAGGAAAAGGAAGAGGCTTGCCAGGTGCAAGAATATATTTGCCTTCTTGCTGAGGTCCAGCAGGGCCCCAGCCATGCTAAAAGCAGGTGGGAATGTGGTGGGAGCTGTGGAGGAGTTTGTTTCTGCTGATGGCAGGGCTGTGCACAGCCTCCCTTGCTCCGCGGTCGGGTACGGCTCCCAGTGAGTGTGGACGTGCCGTGTCATAGCTGCATGTCTGTTCATTGCAGATATCAACATGGCCGGGGAACCTAAACCCAACAGACCTAAAGGGCTGAAGAGAGCAGCCTCCGCGTTGTACAGGTAGGTCTCCACTGCGCCACCTCCCTGCGGCGAGGTCTCCGGGCTGGCATTTGCCTTCCAGCTGGGGCTGATTTTTCGCACCCCGCAGGCTGCTGCCCCAAGCTCCCTGGCCCCTACCCCAGGCAGCCCTGGGCTGCTGCTGCACGTTCAGATCTCCTCCCATGGGCTTCTTGGCCTTTGCAGTGCCCCTCAGTGGTAGGCTGCAGGGAGGAGAGCCAGCGAGAGGCGTCAGCGGCAGACCCAAGGTTGGCCAACACTCATGGCATTGCGGGACTCTGCCTGGGCATGGTCCAACCTGTGAATGGTGTTGGACCTGGAGATCGTTGGAGAAAAGCAGGCAGTACCTGCTTTAACCAGATCAGGGGTCTTGAAAGAGGGGTAGCAAGGCGAGCGCTCCCCTCCAGCCCCAGCTTCTCCAGCTGGGGAGTAGGAGTGGGGCACACTGGCATATGTTGGGTGTTGGGGAGAGCAGGGAACAGGGATAATTTACGGAAAGACACTGGAGAAAAGGGCAAGAGAAGAAGGACAGGGAAAGGGAAAGAAGAAAGGAAGAAAGTGGGAAGCCCTTGGGGCAACAGATGGAGGTGGCCCAAGGAGGTGGCCGGGGGAATCCCCAAGGGAGCCCACGCCGAGGAGCAGTGACCAAGGGATCAAGGGAACGGGAGGGACAAGCAGGACATGGAGCAGGTCTGTGGGAGCTGTAAGCTGTTACAGATGTCAGTGAGCCTTCAATGCCACTGTTGCCAGCTCTAGAGACTTTATCAAGATTTTGACAAGAAGTGAAGATTTCAATTTAAGTCCCAGAGTCTGGAGTCATGGAAATATGGGAGGAACTCATTAAGTTCTTGCTCCTGAGGTTGCAGAAGGGAAAACTGGAAAAGGTATTTGGAGAGTACCCTGCAGGTTTCAAGAACCCAAAACAAAATAACAAGATCCCAAAATGTGTTTTATTTATAAATTCTCATTGTTTGTATGCTAGTCTCATGGTGTGGAGACTGGGGCACTGAGTCAGGATTTAGAAGGTGCGATGTTGGGAAGAAATGACTAAAATCAGTATCAGGGTTATAGGTAGGTGTAATAAAAAAGGAAACCATGAGAGAACTGCAGATTTTTCTACAAAAAGAAAAAAATGTGAGAGGGATGAAGAGAAATGAAAAAGCCTACGATTCAGGCTCAGCTACGCAGTCCACCACCAGTGTGCTACGAAATGGCAACCCTCAGTGCTGGCAACGCTCTTCTGGCATAGGCAAACCCTCCAGAGCTTCAGCAACCCTCCCACCACCACCCCCAAGGCGTCTGTTGAGACCTTCCCCGAGTCTCTCAGCTGAGCTCTCCCTTTGCAGCTTTCACCGGGCAATTTTTTCCTCCCACCTTGGGCCACCTTGGCCCTTCACTAGAACTTGGCCCTCTGGATTCGCGGGGGACACCAGTTGAGGGGAAGTGGACTCTCAGTGCATTAACCATGCTGATGGATGGAAATAGAGATGACACAAATCTTTCCATTCAGCTGCACGTATACTCCTTACGTGGTGCTGGTAGCCGTAATGCAAATCAATTCATTCCATACATCTTGCAATAAAGAGCATTTCATTTACTCTTCGTCCGTGCCTTGACCGCTAATCCATTTCTGTTGAAATGACAAATATTTCAGCCTTCCAGGCTGCCATGTAGATGAAGAGAGGGCAAACGAGAGATGTTTGCTTCCTCCCACAAATACGGATATGCTAAAATATGGGCCAGAAGACTACACTGCTCTGAGCTTCAGCAATATATCATCCCAGATTGGTGACAGATTTAAGCTTTGCCATCTGGACTAGCAGAACATACGATATCTCAGAGAAAGCAGGGAACCCAGGTTTGCAGTGAACCGTGGTTATAGCTTCCCTAACCACCATAAATTTTTCTAAATGTTAGACATCAAAAATCACAGCACTATAATTTATAGAAATGCTGTGTTAAACACATAAGATTATTTTTCTGAAGGTTGGGTTTTACTGTGCCTCACTCCACGTCTGTATGAGAGGGTCAAGGGGAAGGGAAGGGAAAGGAAATCTCATTTTGGACATAGAGGAAGCAACATTTTTGACACTCGTACTTGATCCACTAGCCCAGGGCGTACATGGGTGTTTAATAGAAATCCTTTCGGGTAGCCTCCCATCTACCTCCAGGAGGTAAAACAGGTAAAACATACACCCAGGGTCATGCAATCATAAAGTTTCTCAGGTCTCTCCACAAGAGCGACCTTCAGCTAATATAAAACCTTGCTGTCATCACTGCTCTCCCCTGACCTCTCTGGATCTTCAGGACCTCCCTCCCTCTGCCTCTGGCATTTGCCAGAGCATGCGGGAAGTCCCCCGGGTGCTCCTGCCTGGCACCCCGGCCACCGCTGCTGAACACAGACGTGCCTGGAGATCCTGCAGATGAGTTAGTGAGGACGGCTGGAAAATGAACTTGTGTTTTGACCATGTCCCCCAGGTATTCACGTACTGTGTCTCAAAACCTTTTGCCTTCTGCCAATACTTTCCTTGCCTGCATAGCGAATGTCTGGAGAGGATTTCCTAGGGCGGTTTGAGCCACGTTCGGGTCGGTGCCAGTGATCCTGCTGTGCTGTGAGTTGGCTGCTTGTTGCCGTGGGCTGGGAAGGGCAGGTGGCTCTGCCCCAGGGCAGTGGGGTCTGCTAGTGCCGCACTTGACCTTTGGAAGCACAAATCTCTGCCCTTCCCTGTCATGCTGGTGCTAATGTTGCTCTGTAGCCAAAAGGGCGGTGAGGACAACCTAAGCAAGAACTGCAAGAGCGACCGAGTGTCTGGCAGCTCGGTGGCCCGAGGAACTGTCTCTGAAACGGCGACAGACACAAACCACCGCTGATCGCTGACTTATTTTCACAGTCTACAGATACAAACGGACAATGTCCTTCCAGCTCGGCTGGCGTTCACATCCCTTGTTACACCCATTACGATCCCTGCAGAAAGCTGGTGTCAGCCCACCTCCAAACAGATCCACTGCTCCCACGTCTCGGCGGCGGTGCCGGGAGCAACGACAGCCCGGCAAGCCCTGCTGCCAAATCCACACAGACAGGGCTGAGAAACAACCACAGGGCAGAGGCGGAGGCGAGTGATGGTACCCAAACCCAGCAGGCCCAACATGGGCAGTAAGGACGTGCACGCTGTCCCAGCCTGGAGCAGCCCCTCTGCAGCCCCGGCATCTTGGAAGTGCTGGGCTCCCTTCCCACGTTTCTCTCCCAGCTTCCCGCTACCGTGGCTGCTTGCAGGAGGAAGGAATCTTACACCAGAGGCACCAAAGCTCACTATTTGATCAGTGCCAGATTTTCCAAAGTAGCTTTCCAGCTATTATTTCTACTATTCCAGGGTATTATTTCTACTGCTGTAATAATTAAGGTTGTGCAACCATTAGTAGAAGGACGTGAGCTGAGTACAAAGTGTCGCTTGCGATTATCGGTGCGGGGCTGTCGGCCAGTAATTAAAAGCACAGCCGCTCAAATGGACATTTTCTATTCAGGTACACGCTCAGAAATGGCACCGCAAATGCAATGTAAAGGCAGCACACACAAACAGTTGCCCTTCAATTATGAATATTTGGATTTTGAACCTTTGTGAGTCATTAATAAATGTTATTTAATTACTAAGGAAAAACAGAGCAAGAAGAAATGCATCAGGAGGCGGAAGCATCGTGTTACTTGACACAGCCTCCCACTCTGATTGTCCCTGCTTTATTTTTAAAGGGCGCAATGTCACCAACTGATTGAAAACCAGCAAAAATTATTCCTGTACACAAAGGAAGCCCTGCCAGGTCACTGAAAAATGACCCATCAGTCTCAGGAAGGTTTATCCTACGTGCAGTGAAATTTTCAGGTACACAATGTCCAGATAAATCACCCACACTAAGGCACTCACTTTTTACTAACTTTTTTTTTCTGCGTTCGTGTTGGAAGACCTGCCTTTTGCTCAACGCCTGACTTCCAAGGATGCTGGTAAATGCATCCAGTCACTGCCTCCCTGGCATCATCTGTAAAACCGTGACCCGACTGGCATCTTATAGCAGGGTCATACAGTCACAGACTTCCAAAAATCCTGTATTTCAGCCTGCTGCCTCCCTTGAGGGCTGCCTCATGGTTAGCAGGTATTGAAAGCGGTGCTGCCAGAGGCTGAGATCAGAGTATTTGCCGGCCCGCAGCGTCTTAAGTCTAAGGATGGGTTCATCGCACGTGAGTTCAGCCCTTTATGCTGTCAAGGCCTTTACGTGGGCTGCTTGTCTGGACTCCCTTTATGCTTGCTGGATAAAAAAACCAGTTCTTCACCTGACAGTATTTTAGATGTCTGCCTTTGGATGTGATGTACCATGACCTGGAACTGCCTCTTCCCCCCCCGGGCTTGGATTTATCTCTTTACATTCCCGGTGTCTGAAGCCAAAGATGAATCACACTGGGTTTGGGAAGTGGGGACCAGCTCCCTGGGATGATTATGCCCCTAATTCCATTTGAAATGGGTGGAAGTGTCTCCAGTCCCCTAAGGATTCGAGGCCAGGGCAGGTGTACCGCCCCGCCCCCTTGCTTTTCACCCACAAGTATTAGTAGATGCTCTTGGACCCCCTGCCCTGTAGATCAGCCATGTTGTAAGTCAACTGCACTGCCTCTGTAAACCAGCTGCAAAACTGGGCCAGTAGTGATTTCCACCAGAAAAACGCGAGGCTGCCCAGCTTTGCTCACACATTCTCTACTGCAAATAGCGTAGTAGCATGTACAGTGTTTATTAGCCACTTCATATACCAAACTGCTGGTTTGACTGGTCTTGAAAAAGGCTTAGGACTTCGCCGGAGGTTTTAGGCTTCTCCATCTTTCTCCAGTCCACGCCAGGTTGCATCTAGAGGTACTTGAGGCCGGGCTTCATCCTGTTGGTGCTGTAGCAGAGCCCAGGAGTGAGGCAGAGGTGCCCAAACACCGCAGGGCAGGGTCGGTGATGGAGATGGAGGGTGCCCACCCCGTTGGGGGCTTCATTCCTTGTTTCTAGATGCAGGGGTTTGCCCGGGACAGAGCTGACAGCAGCAGGGCAATGCCCACGTGATGGGGTTGGAGCTGCAGCTCCTCTGCATCCCCATCTCTCCAGGGAGCTGGCCACGAGCTGAGCCCATGGTGTCCACAACTCGACCAATGGGGCTCCCGCTGGGGAGCGAAGGACCTTTTGGGACAAAAGCCAGCTCAGACCAGGAGCATAAATAGGGTGAGAAGAAAGGAGTGCAGGTGTTTCAAAGTTTTGCCAAATGGCCCCAAGCTTTGTGTTGTTTATGAGCAAATGGTCTAAAGCTCCCTCATGGTCTCCACGGCACAGTGAGCTTCCAAGCAAGAGCAACAGCCCATGGAGGGAGTTTTTGCTGTGAATAAAGAAACCGCTTCATCCCATTTGGAGTCCTTGAGCCGCAGGGAGATGCCACTGTCTTTTCTTGCCTGTGGCTATGGAGAACATTGGCTCCAGGGCATTGCTGGATCAAGCCAGAAGCAGTTCACCACAGCCTGTCAGGATTGACAAATATTACAAAATTGCAGCAATTTCGTTTAAGTTGCATCTAAGGAAAACCAAAAAAAAGCCCAGAAATGAAGGGGAGTCTGACAGTGTAGAAGCATCCTAGTTCAATTTTCCTTTCAAATGACTTCCTATTTTGATTGTATTCTGTGTTTATTGGATTGAAACAGAACTGCAGTCAAATATCCTCAGCGATCAAAATAGATTGGCGGGCTGAGGGGAGCTATTTTCTTGGACATTTTCTGTATTTCCAGGTTTCATCCTAGGTTAGAATGAAAATCAAGTTACCAGTCACGAAAATCTCCGTGCAAATACATTTCCTCATTTCATACTGCCCATCTCCTCAGCCATACGAACAGGCTGGTTATATTTGAGCAAGAGCTGACGTGGTAGGAATTACCTTTCCTTTTCAATTCAGAAAAGCACACAAGGGAATAAATACAGATCACACAGTGGTTGGGACAGAAGGCTGCCATGATATTAATTTCTCCTCTGTGAGCCCAGCAGAAACATTCTCTACAAGTCAGGTCAGAAGGGGAGGATGCCAAGGCTGAAAAGATGTTGGAATTCATCTATGCTGAGACTGTCAGCAAAATGACTATTTTTCATCATGCATTTGAATTTGGAAGGCTGATGGCAAT